CCCGAATGCCAAATGCGGAGGCAGGCCCTTTGCTATATGGAAGTGGCCTGCCTGCCTTCTGTCCCAGACTGCGCTGGGCCTTTCCCAAGAAGCTTTCGGTAGGCCCCGGTAGGCTGAGACCCAGTCCAAACGAATCAGGCCCAGGGCCTGTGGTGGTTACTTGTGCCCAACTGTCCTCGGCCCTGTGTTTGGCCCATCTCCCGTATCCAGCCCAGGGCCTGCCTTCCATACATGCAAACAAGCGGCCTGGGCCTGGGTGCTCTCCAACCAACTGGCGCTGCGCAACTGCCTGAATTTTCCACAGTTGCGTGGTGACCGAGATAGGGGCCCTCAGGCCCTCATCGAGCCTGCCTTCACTTAGGGCGGCCGACGTGCTGCATAACAGGGCCAAAAGGGGCTCATCGGGGCCTTGGCCTCACAGAATAGAATGCCCGGCCATTATAGCTTTATTTTGGGCAACTTTAGGCTTAGATACAGTGATAATGACTGGGCATTCTATTCGGGTGACAAAGGTAGTCAGCATATGATAGTTGTATTTTGGGTAACTTTTGGTCTAGATACAGCGACAATGACAGGGCGCTCTATTCAACATGCATCACCACCCACAGTTCACGGAAAGCTCACGCCAGACAAGAGAGATGGCGATTAGCCCATAGAATGGATTGCCTCCCAAAGCATCAGAATTACACAAGTTCCAAGTATATATTACCAGCTGTTACGGCCACTATCGTTGTCATACCACACAGATAACTTCGTTCAGGTCTCTCGCTCCCTCTCTCTCCCTCTCTCCCTCTCTCGGTCGCTCTCTCAAACCTTGGACCGCTCACTCTCGCTCTCTGAATGCACTCCCCAAGTATCCTTCCCTCTCCTACGTCTACCCTGCGGTTATGGCCGCTGTCGTCTTCCTTGGTTACCCTAGCTATGGCGCATGAGCGCCCTTCTCCTTCCCCAAACATGGCTGCCCAACTGGACCCGCTGCACAAGCGGTACGTCAGAGCTTCCGCAACATGCGAATTGACAATTGACCCACTGAAGCACTGTAGCATCTATAAAAAGCAGCTTGAAATGAATTGTTGCCGGGTCCGGACAGGTACTGGTTGCTGCGGCCTGTCCGCTGCAGTTTTGCCAGTTCCAGAACTTACCAGATTTTCCCAGGATGTTGCTGCCAAAATTGGACTTTGGGCCAGTGGACTTTTCCTGTCGGGTACCAGGCCTACGACTTCTAACGACTGTCCTACCAGACCCTTCCAACCTACGACGCTTCGGCCTCTAGACCCTAGCGGACTCCTGGGACCCTTGGACTAGGACCTACCGGGACCAGTGGGATTGGGCCCAAACTGGACTCCAGGACCGAGACTTGGGACATGGACAAGGCATGAAATCCTTTCATATTGAGCATATGATGATGTATTTTGGCCCAGATTTTGACTGCTTCGGTCCTGTTAGTTGCTACGTTCTTCTGTTCTTTTCTTTTTGTTTTTATGAAAGGCGACAACTGCGATATAGCATCAATGAACCGACTGGCCCCAGGTGATTCAGAATTATTTTGTCTCTGGATTTGAACTTGGATCTGTATTTCAACAGTTCATGGCATACCGAGTGAGCTAGGCCCCTTGGTTGTTGCTATGTTTGCTCTAATGAATCTGATATGATTGCTGTTATCTTGTCTACCCTTGTGTTTGGAAATCAGGGTTGGAAACTTCATCCACACTCCATCAAGACTGAAGATGGTGCTTCAGATAGAGTAAGCGGATGCTGACAATGGTGCTTTCCAACAGAATCTTAGCCGTAGTTACAAGCAGATGCATCTTGGGAAAGTCCTACTCTGAATGTGCCTTAAGATGGATGCTACACATATCGTCCTCTTCTTATGATTGGCATATTCTATGATGATATGCTCACCATACTCTTCTTTGCCCATTCGCTTTTCACGTAAACAAACCATCAACCTAAACCTCTTGCCTGATGTAACCTTAGGTTGCGGCGCAACCACGTTTGGAGGGAATTTTTGCCATCATTCATTCGCTGAACATAACATTCTTTCACATGTCATTAGAAGGTTATGTATCGGATGTTTTCAGTAAAATTGTGGAGTTGCAAAGTTGTTATGGAAGTGGCACATTCACTGTCGAGAGTGGGCCTAACTCACTGTTTTTTTTTTTTTTTTTTTTTTTTTAACCCAGTGACTCCAAGCATGTGCCGCCGAAAGTAACAGTGAACTCAATTGCACAGGCTTTCACGATGTTACAAGAGAGAAAAAGAAAGTGGTGGTAGACCACAGAAGCTCTCATTTATTACACACCTTTTAACTTGCTTGTGAAGAGCACGGCGGCACGCTGGATTTCAACTTTGTGCAAATATTCACAAAGTTAACTTAACGCAAACTTAATTGATGACTCACAGTATCAACAGTCACTCACGCTTGGGAAGATGCATCAGGACATCACTCCAAATTTTGTACACGAGCTTGCTCCTCCAGCCTACCGTCTTCACCAAAGCAGAGCGCACACCCATTTACACAGAACGATAATGACTGCGTGTTCTATTCGGGTGAAGACGGTATTAGAATGCAAACAAGAAGTTGCAGAATGCTGAAGTATGTATCAAAGTCAGGCACCTATGACTGCATCTGTTCTCTCCCTCAGGTGTGACAAACACAAACCCCTCTCCAGTCAATAACAAGAAGGAATTGGATATTACGTAACTTGTTCACACCATGAATTAACTTCATTTCACCAATGCCATGCTTGATTGGATGTTCACTAAATCAATAATTGCCCTTTCACGTCAAAATACACAATGAAAATGATTCACAACTAGCAGACCTGGCCGCCAAACCAAATGCACCCAGAGCAAGAGACAATTTGCGAAATGATGGAATATATAAATAGAATCATGGCTGCACTTGCCTCTCTCCTCCAAGATCGAACTTGGAAGACGCTTCCAGCTTTTGATACAGCGAAACCTTACCGATGAGCAAAAGTTAAAAATCCCGTGGCCTGCTATCTCCTCCTGCCGCTTACCGCCTGAGGGATACGGAACCACCGAGGTACACTCCAGCCAGAAAAGACAGAAAACAAACGGACTGAACTGAAGACTCTGCCAAGCTATAGACACACTGACCATGCAAGAAACATCCCTGGCTTCAAACAAGACGTGTACTCGGTTGGTGGCCAGATTCAGGGATCAAACCCAGCTGGCCTGACAAAAAAAAATGGGACCATCCAATGTGTCGAGATCTGTGACCTAGAGTGTGTCAGAAAAAACAGATGGTCTCGCAGTGATATCTTATCCTTGGGCTAGTGGAACAGTGCCCCTGGTCCGTTTCTATAGAAAACAGAGAACGGATGGGGGAAAGCGTATGTTCCCTTTGCTTTTGGAACAGTGCCCCTGGTCCGTTTCTATAGAGAACAGAGAACGGATGGGGGAAAACAGAGTATGTTCCCTTTGCTTTTGGAACAGTGCCCCTTTGCTTTTGGAACAGTGCCCCTGGAAAACAGAGAACGGATGGGGGAAAACAGATGGTCTCGCAGTGATATCTTATCCTTGGGCTAGTGGAACAGTGCCCCTGGTCCGTTTCTATAGAAAACAGAGAACGGATGGGGACAGTGCCCCTGGTCCGTTTCGAGTAATGGGTATTCATACTATTCAACCAAGAAGCAACTAAAGTGCATTTCTGTAGAAGACAAAGAACAGGCAGTTCCCTAAATTACTCTTCTTTTTTTGAAGATTTCCCTTTGCTTTTCTTTTGCCTTCAGTCCACCTTTCCCCCCTGCCACAACCCCGTCCCCATTCCCTAGTCTTTCGATTTTAGTATTGACTTTGTTGGGAAAACTGAAAGCATGTTTCTGTGAAAAACACAAAATAAGGGTGGCGCATTCGGACTAGTGTCCAACACCCCATTCTTAAAATGTTTTCAAACTACCAGCCATCTCAGCAGAGGACGTGATGAAAAAAAATACGCATCATCAACCACATTTCCTTTCCTCAAGTTCTTTGACTTGGTATTACTGTCATTGTCATCTTTTTCCTCCTCCCCGTGCGTTACAGCAGATGTTCTATGTGGGGAAACATAGCAGGCTACACTATTGCTGGACTAGCATGAACCTGACCTGCATTTGGATCAGGTACATGAATTACCCTAGTAGGACATGCCATAGCTTAGTGAGGAGCCTGACCCTTCATCTTCACTGTGTGTGCTGCATTTTCTCCATTGTTACTGCACTGTCAAGATCACAAGAATGTTCTTCTGATGACCTCAGTGCTCTTGGATGAAACTGTAGACCCTGCAGTTATTCCTCTCTTAGCCCCGTCATTGCTCCACTTGGGTCATGAATATGTTTTAAGACTCCACTTTTAGTGAAGGAAAATGACTGCCTCCCTGGTTCCTCTCCTACCTCTTTGCGAGTCTTTAGGGTTTACTAAGTTGACATATGACTGCAAAAAAAAAAGAAGAAAAGTGTGGAACAGAAGAACCCCCAACAACACCCCATCAAACTCTACCATTGTAGAGCCGTGTGCACAGTATCCTCTCCATTTGGCACCCATTTCGAGCCTCCAACAGAGAACCAAATTACCATGTTTCTTTTCGTGGTATGGATCAGGATTTCTGCTGCTTTCTGCAAACTTGATTTCATGTTTTCTTCTGTACTGTGGTTTACTGAAATTTTCTTTTGCTTGTGTCTAATTAGGCCAAACAAACGAACAATTGCCGATGTCAAGGTGATGACACATAATCTTAAGGTACGTTCTTAAATACCTTGTTTAGAAATCATGCCTAGCTTCATTCACTATGATCTGTGGGTGGGTAGAGTCGGAATTCGATTACCTGCACTCTCATAACCACCATTGTGTAAGTGTGTGCATACGTGTGTGTGTGTGTGTGTGTGTGTGTGTAAGTGTGTGTGTGTGTGTGTGTGTGTGTGTGTGTGTGTGTCTTCTATAGATTATGCATAACGTCGATAACTATTTATAGTCTATCATCCGTCGGTGGGAAGAGCAGAAGTTGGACTATTTACAGATTCTAGACTCTCATAGCCACCATTCTATGTGTGTGTCACTGTGTCTGCATGCGTGTTCAAGGAAGCCACAAGTAGAACCCGATTCCATCCACCCAAGTTGTAGGGAAACGTTAGAAACACGTGCAAGGTTCTTCACGTCTGTGTGGTTGAGTGGCAAAGTCTACACATCTGTCATCTTAACACACACTTGCACCACAAAAAACACATCACAGGATGCTTACCATGGTGGTAGCCCGTTAACACATAGACCCATTGACTTATCCTGGCCCTTGTGCATCCAAACCTGACAAAGCTCACTGCCCACACTTCCAAAACTATGTGCTCTGTAACTGTCCCATACCATAAAGGTGCAGACCAGAACAAGAACCGACCTCTCTCACATAGTACAAGATAGCGCAGCGGAAGGCTAATATACCAATGATCCAAACAATCAATGTTGCAATGCAGACCAAACATACATCATCATCATTCCATGGTGTGAAGGGGCCTGGCGCTCACACAGGAAGAATGCGCCATTCCCCAACCATACACAGGTGAAGAAGAGGGGGGTTAGACGAAGAAGTGGGGAAGATGGGAATGTCGTCAACACCAAGTTTTCGGTACAGGTCCCAAATAATCCCTCGTCCAATGTCTCAATCCCAATGTGGAGTCCGGATCCAAATGTCGTCAAGACCCAAAGTCACCAATCTCTCTCTCTCTCTC